AAGGGAAAAGATCTCATGTTCCAAACAGGCTTCAAAGGTAGTCTCTATTGGAACAGAAGAGGCATATATAAGATAAAAGAAATGAGGCTGAGGATAATTTTGGCAAGTGTGGCAATGCAAGAATTGGGACATGGGACTACAGGAGGTGCCGGAGTAGCCCTGATTGACCATGTTGTCCATGAAGTTTACCAATCAAGAGTAACGTATAAGTACTGGAACTCCTCCCAATTTACATGACCCACAAAAGGGTGAACGATTGCTTATCATCCAGGGTGAAAATTGTGTACACAGAGTAGTATGAGTAAAAATAAAAGAATACTACGCATAGCAGCCAGAGCATCTCGGGCAGAATGATACAGAAGATCAAGCGACGAAGAATATGAAGATCATGAGGAACACCATCAGCACAAAGAATATCTTCATCATCAGCCACCTGTTGGATGAAATGCTGTTGAGGTACTTCAGGAGCTGGCCCTGTGCTCCCTCCACGTTAGTCACTGTGTCATCCATGTTCTCGTCAATTCTGTCATGGACAACACGGCCATTAATACAAGATAGCCAATAGGGCACACCAATACCACACCAATGCAATACAACAGGGGCAGTGTGGACTGATAATACAGGAGTTGTTTGGGGGTAAGGTCCAGGAAGATATATGCTTCTACCAATGCCAAACTTATCACGGATGCCACGAGATTCTAATCAGCAAGGTGCAAAAGTTGGTTCATTTTTCCCCTGATCTTAATTTGGCACATAGTGTACCGTTTAAAGGCCACCTTGACCGTGCTTGTGCCACAGTGCCGTGGTACTGTTAACGTGCCCAAGGACTGTCTTGACCCTTAACAACAGTCTCCACCTTCCTAATGGACCATACCTTACTTTTCTAACTAAATAGATAAAAGTCCAAGAATAATAGATAGGATACCGGTTAACTTAACATTATCCTCATAATCTAATTACTTATTAAGAAAAATAGAAATTCCAAATCCTATCTAACCATAATGCTTGCAGTAGGTACTGTTCAAGTGCCAGTGTCAGTGCCTACTTACAAGCTACCCAAACAACCAAGCAGCCAGCAAATTCTCAAATTCATTATCAACATTTCAGACAATGGGGCTGTTCGGCTGGCTGGCCGGTGGCTGGCTGACTGGGCAGCCCCCTCACGAATCACTGTTTACGTGAACAGTGATTTCAGGCAGAACGGTATTTTCCTCTCACAACAATCAGTTGGAACAGTATTTTGGCTTATTTTTCAGTCCTGCCGAACAGCCGGAATATTCCTCCTTGATAAGGCCATAAGATTCTCTAGGTGAGATCATGATATATTAATACTAATGCTCACCTTGAACAATAGATGGAATAAAATTTGGATAACGAAGTTCACCTGATTGCTAGCTCTCCCTGTTGAGAAACCATGGTCGCCAACTGTGTAAATATGTTGCTCAGCTCATGGATTGTTGATTCCACATTTTGAAGAGCCTCAGCTCTGCTCTGAATGTAACTGTCCTGTTGTACTGCCAATTGCTGCTGATGTGCAAAAGGCTGAGATGATGATGATGATGCCCCATGGTCTCCATTAGTCTTCTTCCTGGTGAACGGGACCACAAATTTAAGAAGCACAAAAACAACGGATGGTTAAGCAACAGATGCATTCTGCCAAAAGTGTAGGTCTAGCCAATTTACATAAACTTCAGGGCGCCACAGAGGCAACAAATAAAAAAGACTAGCTTATTTCAATATGTAAATGTGTGCCAGCATTCATGACCTCAAATAACAATACAGACAGAAATGTCTTATTTCAATATGTAAATGTGTGCTAGCATTCATGACCTCAAATAACAATACAGACAGAAATGTGAACCAAATGAACCGGTGTCCGCATGGTACTGGTATATTAACAAATTTCATGACTTAACAAATTTCATGAATAAGCATTGAGGACTTGAGGTTGTTCCGTCAAACTAGTAACCTAGAAAATACTCAAACAAGCAGTGCAACAAGCAATACATAGCATTGAATTATTGTAAACATGATTAGGAAGGTTGTTGTACTTGGTCAGACATGAGAAATTTTATGGAACAGTATCTCTTTTGTACCACATTACCTATATGATAGCGGACAACTCAGGTGATTTTGAATAGACTAAAGCAAATAAGACGTTAGCTGCCCAATGCACAACATACAGCTAGCATAGCATGTGAAAGGACAGAAATAAGATGATTTTGAACGGCTGCTGACAGGTGAAAGTACAAATTCATCGAGTTTTGTATGTGAACAGTACCTCTGGAATAATGGGGTAGATGCAGAGTCGCTGGCCCATGGTGCTGGGGGCACAGAGGACTCTGATGGATCCCTAGCACCAAGGGGTCGTTGACGGATGAATGGATTTGACGCGTCCTTTGCAGCTGACGAGGAGAACATTTGCCTTCTATTTTCATGAACCTTCAAATTCTGCACATCAAGGAAACAAAGGTTTTAAGCAACCATCTTGCTAAAGACTTTACAGGGGCGGAAAGGAGCACTATATAATTGAGGAAACAAACAATTGTATCTAACCTCTGTTCGCATGGTAAGAACTTCTTTAAATTCTTTTGTTGCGCTCATCAGACGATTTTTAAGGTTGTCCACGACTGTAGTGGAATGATTTGTTGTGTCCTTGGAGAGACTGCCACTCTCATTTTGTGAATTGCATAGAGCTTGTAGGTCTACAACAGCAGTATTCAAAGCTGTGATATCCTTCTTGATAACTGCAGTCAACTCTTGAATCTCTACTGTAGGGTCATCAAAAACAGATGTTCTCTTTGCCACTGCAAACATTCATTTTATATCAGTTCCATAGAATGGCGCAATCTTTATAAGTGCATAATATGTGAGTGTTCACGATAAGAGACTCAGAGTCATGTGATCATATCATTGGTGATATTTTGTCATAATACATCACAAGTGCCACTGAACTAATGAACAAAATTAGATCTTTTGGCAGCATCGTAGCATGTCAGAATGACATAGACTATATGATTAAGGACTTTGTAAAATACGAATTCATAATGTTAGAGTGGCGCGTCAAGGAACATAAATCCATAACCAAAAAGTGGCAACAAGCAAATACTCATTTTGTCAAGGAAAATTGCAAAGCTGAAGATTTCGCAGCCTACCCTACTTTGCATAACAAATGGAAGGCCAGAGTAGCTAAATCATTTAGAATGGACTCCCATTCAGACATTGCCTGGACAAGTAGGACGTCCAGTCATGTAAGCTATTCGCAAACCAAGCTAATGCTCATTGACGTGATATGGTGCAGATAAATAGCATTCATCTTCATCACCATATTTCCTCAACAATGCTCTTCATCACCATTAAGCACAAGTTTTGATACATGAATGCACTAAAACACGAAGTAATAAAGCGCTAGTATCGAAACAGCATCAAATCAGATCTGATGCTATCAGAACAGCACCAACCATTAAGTAGCAAAAAAGTAATTGAGAAGATATAAAATCAATCTGTACCTTGCCCAGACTATGGTTCATGTTTGACACACTTGCAGCCATATTTAAGCATGCAACACTGAAGCATCTAGAGTAGCAAGCTGACACACAGAATAGTTATCTTAGCTCGTTTTGGCCGATTACGGTGCTAATAAACTGCTAATGGCATCACTGAATCCATGAAAACAGAAGCACATCCAGGAGCGGATATTGGGCTAGGGCCACTAGGGCCACAGCCCTAGGCGTGGCCCAGAAAACCTCTTATGTCCCTCTTAAATTCTCCTGGCCCAAGCTCGCAGCCCATGGTCGCGCGGCCCAGTTTTGCCCAGCTCGGCCTCGCGCCTGGGGCATCCTGTGTCGCTGTACGCCGGCCCTTTCCCTAGCGCTCAGCTTTCTTCTCGCACGCCGCCTCTCACTAGGCGCTCCGCACTCACTAATGTCCAAACCCCTAGCGCATGACTAGCAGCTGTCCATCGCGGCGGCACGCAGCCGGCAGCCCCCTCCCGGAGGCCGGAGCGAGGTGAAGCCGTGACGGCGCCTAGAGGTTGAGCCGCGGCACTGCGGCCTGTGTCCATAGCATGCACGTCTTGCTGTGGCCTGGTGGTCGTCGGACCAGCAAGAGGTGGCGCCCCTCCTCTGAACCAATGTAAACATCCATCCACCCAATCTAGATCAACCCAAATTCCATTGGTGTGTTCATGTATGCATCTGACATTGCAGATGGCACCGTCTGTATATTTTATTAAGATTGGATGAATCAATGCTGTACATTGCAGATCTCTTGATTCATAAAGATGGAAACACATGTATATCCTTCACTACTTTTATATCTAGTTTTTTTTGTTGATTATGCATTTTCTTTGTTGTTTTTCTTATCTATAGAGTATTTAAGCCGGTAAGCCTGTAAAACCGGTGCTGGTGATTCACTCACTTAGATAGTGGCCCTAGGCGTCAAAATTCACCAGCTCCGCCACTGAGCACATCACACTGTAGTATCAAACGGAATATAGCAGAAAATATTCGGTTAAACATCATGCAAACAGTACAGGTCAAAAGTGCCATGATATTCCCAAGCTAAACACAAGCACAAACACCTAGCAATCACTGCCTACAGAGTTAATCTCTAGCCAAGCATCCTATACACGACGCGCGTCCCGAGATCTCGACTAGCAGTTTAGCTAATCTGAAGCAACGCGCGAGAGACGAATCCGGAAGTAGGGGAAGGAATAGGACGGAGGCCATACATTTGGCAAGGCGGCTTAGCTTCTGGGAGGCCTGGTGGATCCCAAGCCCGATCTTGGACGCGCGGTTGGTGAACTCCGAGCGAGCCGACGTGGCCGCGATCAACCCATCGAGGGTCCCGGTGGAGCTGCTGCTCGCCGCCGCGGGGGCGGACGACGAGGAAGGTGCGGCGTGTCGGCGCGCGCTCTCGACGGCGGCGCGGAAGTCGTTGGTGCGGTCGCGGAACGACGCCTGCGCGGGCCGCGTCGGGATCATGTCGGCCCCCCGGCGATGGATCTGCACGCGGATTTGGATCTCGCGCTCGCCCTCGCCCTCGCTCTCGCTCTCAGACTCTTGGGGTGGGGGAGGAGAACGAGGGAGACGAGCGGCGGTTGGGATCAGGATTCAGTGACTTTGCTTCATAATAAAGTCACGCCGTAACTTTCGCTTCATCCTGTGCGTTCAATGTCGATCCAAGGCCTCTTAGCCATTCAAGGCAAAAATAGCGTCGCGTGAGGAACAGGGGAAGGCAGCTGGGAGGAGATGCATTCGCGCTGTCTCGCGCCTCGCTGCTGTCCAGCTCGCCCTGTCGGCTGTCCGGCCAGCGCGTCGCCTCGGCACTCGGCCGCGAAGCTCCACCGCATCGCCCCGGTCGTTCTCCCCCGCGTCGCTTGGCCCTGAAGGTCACCGCATCGCCCTCGTCATGCTCCACAGCTCCGGTGAGATGATGGAGAAACTCGGCCGCGCCGCCGTTCGTCCACGCGTTCACGCGTTCACGCCGCCAGCTCTCCTGAGACGCGCCCCGCCGCCGCAGACCTCCTGTGTCGCGCGCCGCCAATGGGACGCCAGCCAGGCGCAGGGAGAGCAGGACTGCAGGAGCATGGCCTCCGGTCCGGGTCTGCCGGCTGCCGCAGTCACGGCACGCGCATCGCCCGCCCGCATCCTGTGCCCGCGACGGCCGCCCGCTCGCCATGACGCCCTCCGCGCTAGCCGTGCACGCACGGTGCTGGCCGCGAGCTCGCCGCGCCGCCCTCCGCGATGGCAGCGTCGCTCGCCGCATCCCATGTCTGCGACGGCCGCCGCTCGCTGTGCAGCCCTCCGCGACGGTCTCACGCGCTCGCCGCATGTCGTGCCTGCGATGGCCGCCCGCTCGCCGTGCCCTGTGCCCACACGCCGGCCGACCACTCGCCACGCCACCCCACGCGCTGGCCGCGAGCTCGCCACGCCAGTCGCGCACGCTTGCCGCGCTGGCCGCAGACCTCCCGCTCGCACGCCGCCAACGGGACGCAGCAGGGAGGAGGCCCGGACGACCACGGATGAGCTGGTTCGGTTCATTACGACGGCGAACAGCAGGAAGAGCATGAGGTCAGCCTCCAGGCCTGCCAGCGCGGCTGCCGCAGTCACGACTGACAACTCCGGCGCGTGGTCCAGTATCGCTCTTCCGGCACAGGATGGCGGTGGTGGCGCGGTGCAGGAGGGCTGCAACAACGCAGCGCGCGGTGCCGGACGGCTGCAGCGGCACGGCGCGGCGCGGCGCGCGGTCTAGGACTTGGGCGATGGAGGCGTGAGGTGCGGCAGGGCAGCGGGCGGCGGCTGCAGCGGCCCATCGTGGGGGGCTTTTGAGCCGTCGGATGCTGCTTCGACGTTGGATACAGACCCGAAAGTTTGTGACTTGCAAGACCAACGTTACCGAATCTACATGTGAGACGTTTTTGGGATATTTTAAAACTTCACTTTTATTTTATGAACTTCTTTCCATTTTCTGCCATGGGCATGATTTCTATTAAATATGTACCCGGGTAACAAATTCATTTGGCACCAATGGGTTGGACCATTTAGACCCCAAAAAACAGTACCGTTGTATGAATATTATAGAAGAATTAGCCACTATAATTATTAAATGGTGCATACTCTATTTTTGTTTCTGAATTTTGTGATGTGTGGCATTGTGACATGTTATCTCTTCGATTAGCTTTTTACGTTACAACTCTTGTGCTTATTTCCCACCTTTTTCTGCTCTCTGGGAACACGCTTCGAACAGGGTTTAAGCGGACATAAATCTTCAACAATTGGATCTGGCGAACTCATAAATGACTCTGTGCCGCCCAAGGATCCTGAAGAGGGAGGTTTGTCACTTCCTGAACCCATCATACGCTGCAGTAATTTCAGTTTTCCTGTTTTGAATCCTTCTTTGAAAGCTGAATGCTATCTTACATCCTTAGGTGAAAATTGTGAAGGCAATGCTGATTCAGAAAGCCGTTCTGACATCGACGATGTAGAGGTGCTTTTTCAATGAGTTCTTTTTATCATATTTTTCAGGATTATTCCATTGCACAAGTAGTTAGAGGTGTAGTGATAACCAAACAAGCCTTTGCAATTTGTTGTGATGCTATCTATCAATTTTGTAGGTTGATTGGTACCTTCACAATGAGGAAGAGACACAATATAAAAAGATTATCTGGGAGGAAATGAAGAAAGAATACCTTGAGGTAAGTAACTCCATCTATGGTCGCATTTTTTCATCTTGACTAGAGAATGCTACTATCTGCTTTTTTATTTTTACAGGAACAAGCAGCCAAGGAAGCTTTGGCAGCTGAATTGGCAGCTAGATGGATTGTTGTGGAAGAGGGAAAGAAGAAAGCAAGGAACACTTTTGGGCAATCAAACTTCCTGTTTACCATTTTAAGTTCGCATGATTATCTGTGGCTGTTTCAAAACATAGAAACGAAGACGTAATGAAGACACCAAGAGCTCGACACCTGCTGAAACACCGGCAGAAGCCACATACAACGTGCTGAAACGGAAGGTATTCACTTGTGCCGTCACATACAATCCAAAATAAACTTGTCCTTTGAACACTGCATGTACATTCTGAACCTGATGTGCAAACAAACATGAAAGCCTGAAATTCAATTCAACGTCTCTTCTCACAGGGACTTGGTTCAAACATCAATGAGGGAGCTGTTGGCGAATTGTACAAGGTATGCCTGTTTGTTTATGCTTAAAATTTAGAATCTACAAATTGTCGGCCTGTTCGGCAGGCCGTGTCGTATCGTGGATTATTTACTGCTGGCTGGTTTGGTGTGAGAGAAAAACACTGTTCCCGGCTGGAAATTTACGATCGTTTACAAGAAGCGAACAGGCTGTGTATCCTGCCGCGAGTCGAAAACTATTCTGCAGTACTTTTTTAAAGATTTTTTGTTGTGTAGCTGATTTTATTTTGAAAAACTAAATGAACTAACAACACTGACTCTGTAATCGTCCATTATGCTACATTTTTCTGATCCGGTGGTGATTGATTCTGCGAGCAGACTAGAGATGAAGTTGGCAGCGCAAGTAAGGAAGAAGAGATGGACTTCGACGCACTGTTTGGGCCGGACGATGCTGATGGTGAAACAGTTGATGATGGTTACACCTATGGGGGCTATAACGACGATGGCGCAGAAGCCTACAATGGCATTGATGATGATTTTAATTTTTAGGATGTAGCAGCATTTGCCGAACGGCAAGGCTGACCAGCACGGGCACGATTCTTCATCTGTACATTATATAGTTTCTTTTGTTTTGGCTAAGTTTCAACGATTAATATGGAGCTATTGGATAGTCAACATAGTTTTGCTTGTACAATAATGTTTAAAACTAGGTTCTGCCTGGTTGTAGTTGTAACTGACTGTAAGTCCTGTGTGCTCAAGCGCCTAAAGGGCATTGTACATCCACCCCAAAAGATTGCAAGTGGTGATGTAACATTTGTATTCATAATAAAGGAACTGGGCCATCTTACACAAAAATGCGTTTATTTGGTCATTTGAGCAAATTGCACAGCCCGGGCTTCCTATGGGACCCCATGCCGAAGCGGCGCCCAGGTTGAAGCTCTCCTCCAGCCAAATCGATTGGTGAGGCCATGGGATGGAACCTGCCTTTGAGGCTTTGACGGTGGCGAGGCCGACCTGTGCTGACAACCCTTGCAGTGGAGCAAGTTTTCCACAAGGTGATCATGGAGAATGAACGAGGAGAGCACGGAACGAGTCAGTGGCTCTACCGACTGTGAACGAGGAGAGCACGGAACGAGTCAGTGGCTCTACCGACTGCATGATGACATTTTAAACGATCGTAAATTTGTAGTTGGAACAGTGTTTTTCTCTCACACCAAACCAGCAAGCAGTAAATAATCCACGATACGATACGGTCTTCCGAACAGGCTGATTGTGTATTGTGTTGTGGTACAGAAGCACACGGCACACCTTTGGATATTTTTTTTTATTTGCGTTCTTTTTCGTCCTAAATCCTAAACTAGGCACGCGTTTGGCCGGGCTAGGCTAACCGATCCCTCAAACATCACCTTACTTAATACAGTATATATTTAGTTACGATGGTAGTATTCTTCAATTGTGCGGAGGCTAGCGAGGAGCTTAGTCACGGTCTGGGACGGTGTGTTTGGTTGCTTGATATGCATAGATGGGATATGACCGTTTATGGATATTTAGTGTTTGGTTTAAATCCCTGGGTAGGGAATATATCACAAGATGCTTGATTTTCTGGTTCTTAAAAATCTCGTGGACCAGCTTATCTCTAATCTTTGTCATTATTAAATAAATTAAAAATTATTAGTATTATTACTTAGTAATTATGATGCTAGGATTAGTTTTGATAAATGATAATACATTGATTAGTGCATGTTTCATGTGCTAATTAGGTTACTAATGGTGCTAATTAACATATTTAATTTAAATTAGTGATTATTATGACAAAATTAGTATTAGTGCATATTTATTAGTGTCTAATTAGTTGTCATTATTTTTAAATAATAGATATAATTAGTCAACTATTCTTATCCCATCCACTTTCATCCATCCAACTAAACATAAAAATGACTCGTCTCATCTATCCAACTAAACATACATCATGGATATCCTCATCCCAATATCCATGGATCGTCATATCTCATCCAACTTCGTCCTCGAACCAAACGCAGGATGACCAAGTACCAGGTTAGATAGAGCTTATCATAGAGGTACTGGAGGCTGAGGCTGAAGCCGTCTCGTTTGACCCTGACCAGTGCTGATGCTTGCCATTCTTCCTCTGCAGTCAGAGCAGAAGTCACAGAAATATTTTTTTTAAACCACCGGCAGCTGCCCCGCATATAATATTAACAGAGAGGAAGAGTGCGTTTAAAGGGCAATATATCGTCAGAAATATAGCGTAATAAAGGGCGCTGTTTGAATATTTCAAAGTGGAATAGAAAAGGCTGCTGCTGGCTGTTAGAGCTTCAACTCCTAGAAAGTTCCGGAAAAGGAGAAGCGAAACGGTACAAGGACAAGGCACCGGTACAGTTCTGTATCTAATCTCCAGTTGCGCTGAGCCGATCAGCAGCAAACGACGTAGCACCGTTTCCAGCCTCGAGATTTCAGATATTCTGAGAGTTTCTTTTTTTTTAGAAAATAGTGGAGTTTTTTTTCTCCCTTTGGAACACTGAATTATCATTCAGAATTAGGTGGTGGATAGTCATATGAGACAAGCTAACATTTAGCACGTCACCTGGAAGATACGGACGAATTTCAGAGACAGTTGTCCTGAAAATAGAGTGCTCTTTCTGAATCTATGGCGTCAGGCAGACCCATCTCAGGGTAATCAGGTGGTGCACAACAATAATAGGTCCAAAAATATTTTTTTACAGCGATCCCACTGAGAACAGTATTAGAGGCTGCGTGAGAGAGAATCGAAGAGACATTTCATACATGGCTTGAGAAGTCATCAGCGCAGCAGTTAGAAAGTCTGGTGACTCAACTGACAGAACATTCTGAATCTTTATTCCATATCTAAAAAGCTATCTCATCTGAACAACACAACTGGCTGGCCTTAGTTTTTCCCTTTTAATAATAAAGTGACTTAGGTGTATACATGCATGGGATCAAACCATTCTGATTCTACTCGTTACATGAACTCAGCAAGATTAGATACCAGTCCAGTGACACCAGAGTGTCATCAGTCACCGGACGTTTATCCTGTTCTTGGCCATGCAGGATGATGGAACTTGGAAGTAACGTGATCAGTGTCCACTCCCTGGTTTCCTGCGTGGATCATGTTTGGGGTTGGACCCACCGTAGTCGTAATCCTGAACGTCCGTCAGAACCCTCCTGCTGCGTCTCTGCGTTTGGGGAGTTTAGTCAATAGGGTGGAACTGTCATTTTAAAATATCTAATCTTTGGAAAGTTTTTTATCCAAACAAATAATAGCCCACTGATTGAATTGTAGCAAATACTATATGCTTTCTATAAAACCAGCTAAAGCTTTCACTGAAAAGATAACAATAACAGAACCGAAACAAAACGTCTAGAACAGCATCATAGGAAGGATGAGTTTTCCTGTACTCTACTGCTCCTTAAAAAATCAGAAGAGCACATATCACAGAATTGTATGACCTCCTATCACAGAATAGGTCTAGCTACTATGTATATTTCCCCAATAGCTAGTTTTAGTTTCACAGTCAACTTCTAGCTAAAGACTAAATATACTCCTACATGGAGCACCAATTAGTCCTGAATGATGGTTCTTAAACACGATTTCACTTTTTTTATACAAAAAAAGGTACCAACTGTTCTTATTTCTGTCAGACTGTTTCAACCAAGATTAGCATATACCGACCTCAATAACTTCAAAAGGTTCTGCATCATTGGCTTGTGTAGTTGTAGTTCGTCCTGCATTCAATCAGACATGAATCATGTACGACTAACTAACCGTCAAGGGAAATACACATCTAACACAAGGAAACAGACTGTGAAGAGGCGTACCTGAAGATGCACTGAGCAATAGAAACACCACAAGGATAACGGTGAAGATGAACCTGAGCTTAGGCATTATTGGTCTACTAAGCAGCGCCGTGAGCTGGCAGAGTCTCCTTCCTTATGCAGCTCAGGACTGTCAACTGTGGCGAGGAGCTGAAACGTAGCAATGGCCCCTTTATATACGACGAAACGATGCGCTCCTCCTACAGCTGGAAAGCAAGGAAAGGGCACACCAATTGTCCAAGCTTTTGCAATAGTGTGCCCTGTGCTGTGCCACCAGTGATCTGCATCTGCTCTGCCTCTACGGGCTAGCCATGAAAACGAAAGCCAATATGGTCCTCCCAGCACAAGGTCAACTATATGATTCGCATGCAGAAGAGCGACCTTCCGAACCACTCACTATTCCAGTCATCACCACCACAGTCCACAGGTTAAGACAGAGCAAAAGCCGAGCTAGCACACAGTGCAACTGTTCACGGGCTCATTTGTTGGGTGCTGGTTGCGCGAAGTAGCACATACACAACTGTTCATCGCTGTACAGTGTTCACAGCCATTTGTTGGGTGCTGGGTGCTGGCGCAGTGGTCAGTGGTGCGGCACGCACGGCACAGTTGCACGCTCTGGAGGTGGCGCAGTGCGCGCCGCGCGCGCGCTATAGTGCAGTGCCATTTCGATCTGCAGCGCTAGCATGCGTACCTATCACCCTAGCACCTACGGGCTACGGCTGGGGCGACGCACACGGCCGCAGGAGGAGGCAGGACGATGGGATCGTGACCAGTGCTACTAGTGCAGCACGAGCGGCGCCCACTACCGGAGGCAGCGCGCACCGTCGCCGCCGACCGGTTGCTCTCGTGTGCATGATGCATTGCATGTACTGGCCAGCAGCAACAGCAACAGCAGGCGACCTCTAAAAGATGGCTGCAGGCTGCGGGCTGCGGGCGGGCGACCCACCGTCGCGTCGCGGAAAGCTCGCGGCTTTGTGTAGGCGAGTGGAGGTTGAGGTTGCAGATCGCATTTGCACATGGGCGACCGACCGAGCTTGCGTTCGTTCGCGCGAGGTGACTGGCCGAAAGCGGCGGAGATGCAGGTGGAGGCGGAGGGGAACGACAGGCGCAGCGACGATCGTCCGCCGGTCCGCGGCAGTGCTGTTGCTGGCTGCAGCACCGATGGGAATGGGGGCGCGTTTAGTTGGCCGGAATTTGCATGTGCAAAGTTTGCATAGTGCACTGTAGCATTTTATTTGTATTTGGTAATAATTATTCAACCGTTGATTAATTAGATTCAAAATATTTGCCTCGTAAAGTACAACCAAACTGTGTAATTAATTTTTAATTTTATATACTTTTAGTATTCCATGCATGTACCGTAAGTTTGATGTGACGAGAATTTTTTTTTTATAGTGCTAAAGTTGGGAGTTTGGAAGTAACTAAACAAGTGCTGGGATAGTGGTCGCTCCTGCAGCGAGAGAGGTCGGTCGAGCCAGCCATCTGCCCATCCAGGTATTCCTAACCTACTCTAGCACAGTGGTGTGTGTTTCTATGTGGGGCCTTGTTTAGATTGGGGTTATGAATCAGTATTTGGCACTGTATCACTTTCATTTATATTTGATAATTATTGTCCAATCATGGCCTAACTAGACTCAAAAGATTCGTCTCGTAATTTACAATCAAACTGTGTAATTAGTTATTTTTTATCTACATTT